CGGTTTTTTCTTTAGGTAGAATTTGTTGGTTGTAAACTTTTTTTTTTTTTTTAAAGATTTATTTATTTATTATGTATACATTGTTCTGTCTATACATATCCCCACAGGCCAGAAGAAGGCACCAGATCTCATTACAGATGGTTGTGAGCCACCATGTGGTTGCTGGGAATTGAACTCAGGACCTTTGGAAGAGCAAGCAGTGCTCTTAACCTCTGAGCCATCTCTCCAGCCCGGTTGTAAACTTTTTAAAAGACTGTTTATATAATAGAAAGCTTTTCTTTCAACTTCAATTACAGTGGGTAGTTTTGCTGGGTATATTGTAGACTGGCAATCATAGTCTTTTAAAACTTGGAATGCATTGTTCCAGGCTCTTTTCACTTTCAGAGTTTCCATTGTGAAATCAGCTGTTATTCTGATGGGTTTGTATTTATATATGACTTGTATTTTTTCTCTTGGAGCTTTTAGTACACTTTTGTTTGTTATGGCCACTTAGTGTTTTAATTATGATATGTTGTTGGGATTTTCAAATATTGACAGTTTTGTCAGCAAAGTGTTCTCACATGTTACCAACAGTCACAGAGTGTAGTGGAGTCATGCATGTGCACACAAACACATGCAAACTAATTACTCAAGGCTCATGTTCTGTTTAAATTTGACTGCACATCCAGAGACATTGATTTTATGGCATTTGACACACAGGTTATGCCTGCAAACAGAGACACACTCCCACCGCTTTTTAAAAAAAGCATTTAGCAGATTTTAAGATGTCTCTGAGTTTGGGAGACATTGGCACTAAAATGCATGTTATAATAGCCTTTGTTTGTAATATCAGATCTTAAAAAACTGATGTCAATCAAATGCCTGGGAAACAGTTTACCCTTATAAAGCTGGAAATTACCATATAAATAAAAATGAACCTGGGAAACATTTTCAAGGAGTTGGGAAATTGAAGATTAAAAAATGCAAATTGTTGCACAGTCATGGGGTAGAAGAATGGATGAGAGTGAAGGATAGTGCTAATTATACCAGACCTACCAAAACCCAAAACCTAAAATATTTGACCTGATTATCATCAAATAAAATGGCAGAAAGATGTACTCGATTTTCTTAATTTGGCAAACATTAACAGAAGCACTACTGTTTGCCTGTGGATGTGTCAGACACCAGGGACCCAGGGGGAAGTGTACAAGTCGTTACCTGTGCTTAGGTGGAGGTACAAAGAGGATACAAGAAACCACCCCTGACTTGACCCCTGGGTATCATCAACAACTTCACATCCTGGAGTTGAGAAATGTGCCCAGGCAGTTGGTATTTGTGAGTATGGGGGTTGAGGTGATAGTTTGGTTGGCAAGTACTCTGTGTACTTCCATGCACACATACAAACACAGACACAAATTAAACATCTCTGAAACAGACAAACCAATTCTATAAATTTTTGAATTTTTTAAGCTAAAACTCAGTTTGAATTGAAAAGACAGATTTCTCACTTCCAATGTGGTAATTAACTTAATAACAGGAATTAGTCTCCTAATGCTTAAAATAGAAATAGGTCATCAATTAAAAAAAAAAAAAGGAAGCTGTTTGTCTTAGAATTTGCCACTTGGTTTTGGAAAATGAAAAAGGTCAGAAAATATTTAACATAGAAACTGATTACATTATGTTTTAGGCAAACATTACTAAAGACACACTGCCTGTGTCTATGGATGGATGATTGACAGGCCAAGCTCTCCAGCCTGTTATGGGGATTAGAGAGAGCTGAGATCCTTCACACTCAGATCTGGGATTGTAACTTATGGTCCCACATTGGTTCTGTTGTCCTGGGGACTTGGCTTGGTTAGTAAATATCTCTGAACATACCTTTCCCCAGGTTCACCTGAATGGAAATGCTTGTAAAATGCTTCCAAGGCACGGGGCCCATAGACAATGCCTGACGGGGAAGCACATGGAACAAGGATGGTTGTCTACAATGGTACGCTTGCTTTTCCTCCCTCGGAAAATTTCGTGTGGAGCAAATGTTGATTAGTCAAATGTTCTGTATGTGGGAAAGCTGTCAGAAGGATTTTTTTTATTTTAAGTCTCTACTTGATTTCTCTATCTGAATACCTACCTACTAGATCAAAGGAAGGTTCTGTGGGTGTTTGGGTTTTGTTTTTTAATTCTAAAGACACTTTTATGGAGAATGTGACAGTATCTGCAGACCCAGTGCAGAATGGAGCTACTACCTTAGCTCACATACTAGAGTCCAGACACAACTCTATAATCAAGTGACCTGTATCCAATACCCATACTGACTGCCTATGCCACCCAGAGCAGGTTAGAGGTTCCTTATCACATACGGACTCCCACTGTTCACCGAAAACCTTACGGGTGCCTTTGTTCAAAAAATAGATTACATTTATTAAGAAAATGGGCAGTGAGCTCATCAACAGAACTTCAAGTAAATACAGTAGATAATAGTAAATATGGCAAACATGAGTGTGCATACTACTCTTACACAATAGAGCTGTGCAAACAAAAATCAGGCCACATGCCTACACTACTCATGAGAACATATTTGATATATGGTACCTGCTTTAGAATGGCTCACAGTTAACTCTTGTCTTAGATGAAGGGAAAAGTTTTGTAAGAAAGTATTGGTCAATCCAATAAGAGGGCTAGCTAACATATAAAGCCTTACTGAAGCACCAACATGTGCTGATCACCAAAACAAGTTCTCAGTAAGTCTCCTCAGAAGCATGGAGGGAACCCTCCTTTTACTCTGATTTGCAAATCTGCATGCATGTGCGTGTGCGTGCATGCGTACGCGCACATGCTGTGTACATGTACACAGGTTCATGTAGGTGAGGGTGTACGTGGAGCCCAGTGTGGGCATTATGCCATTGTGAGCATGGAGAGGGCAGAGGAGTTGGTTTTTTTCTCTCCACCTTCCTGTGGATTCCAGAGATTAAACTCTGATTTTGAGACTTGAAGTTAAGTGTGTTTACCTTCTGAGTCCTCATGCCAGCCACAACCATGGTTTGTGAGACAGGACCTCTCATCTGTCTGGAACTTGCCAGGTAGGCTAGGCTGACTGGCCAGCAAGTCCCACCTACCTCTATCCTCAGCACTGGGATTTTCAGTGCTTTTTTAAAAGCAAAGGTTAAAGGTCCCTGGGCTGCAAGATACACACTTTACCAACTGAGGTCTCACCCCAGCCCCTGACTTAGACATCTTTTGTAAGTGTAAAGTGGGAAGGTGAATAAGGCTGACGTCACAGAGCCAGTAACTAAGCGAGGAGAGCTAGTCCATGTCAGGGAGTCAGTCAAGTAAGGAAGCTGGGCAGTCTGCTGCATCCCAGAGGCAGCCTGGCAAACTGTCTCCGTGTAAGCATGGAGCACATCACTAGAACACATTCTTGAGAGTCTTGGACGCTATGGGCACGTTCTAACAATGCCATAGTTACAAAGGGGAAATGACAAACTGCTTTCCTGAAATCCCAACATTCAGACTTCCGTAGAAGCAATGAAGCGTGTACTAGTCCACACAGCTGTGTATGTTATCTCCACGGGCCACCAAGAACCACAGATTGGTCACTCACATATTTTATTCAGGTGGTAGCAAAGGCTGAAATTGGTTCAAAAAATGGTCACTACGCCTGACTTTGTCAATGTTTTAATCGATTCTAAGTTGATAATTTTTTAAAATAGAACTAGTGTTGAATTATGTTATCACACAGGGCAAACCTCAAGTCATTCCCACCACAATAACTGCAGGGCAATTTACTAAGCAACTTAAAAAACAGACCCCAAGAGTTATCGTCCATTACTGATGTATTCCCTAGCTGTAAGAGAATATCTTCCAAATGTTGATAAAAATGAGGCTAACTTCTATACTACAGCTCTAGTCAATCAATATTATATGTATGTAGGAATAGCAAATGAGAGCGGTAATCACTATAAAATACATCCCCATTGCAAGGAATTAAGACACTTCTAGAGAGCAAGCAGATTCAGTAATCTTGGGAGAGTCCACACGCTCACACTCATGTCAAAGGATCTTCTACTTAAAACCGGCAAGCGTGGGCCACTTTTCAATCAGCCAACGCTTTTTCCTGCAATTTACCTGAAAGTACTGGTGCTTTTCCATCTACTGCAGTGATGTTCCAGATGGACTGCAACTAACTTCAAAACTATTCAAATCTCAGTACTATCACAGGGAACAGAACGCAATACAGTCCAAAAGCAGAGCAAAGAAACAGCATTATAGACACGTGCAAATTGCTCCTAAAGTCTACCAGCCAGGGCAGCCAAGAGCTGAGTTACACTGACACACAGTCTCTACAGGAATCAGCACGGCTCCTGCTGCCCAAGACCGCAGTGACAAGGTCAGCAGCACACAGTCCATGACTTAACAATATAATTGTAAGACTCATCAGCTATGCAGCTCATCGCTGGAATTACTTGATTTCACATAGCGCACATAGCAATCAGTAAATCTGTCTCGTGAGTTTTTGTTTTACTTGGCTTGTTTATATTATGCATAGAAACAGCCTTGCACACTACACAGATTGAGGCAATGAAGCAAAGACAGATTACATGAAAGTTCGAGGATCATGGCAAGCATCCCTTCATGTCTTTCTCCAACTCTGAATTTAAAGACCACTCGTCGCCAATTTACTCCCATCCTACCCTTAATCTGCCCGCACTGGTTCTATGTAAACACCGTGTGTTACACACAACTCCGCCTGATGCCTGTCATCAAAGGCATGGCCTTTCATGGGCCCGGCAGGCTGAAAACTGTGACTGGAGAAGCATAAACTCAAGGTACAGAAGAAGGAGGCAGTCCGTCACGGAGGGTACCCATGCAAACAGCAGCAGGCAGGGGTGGGGGTGGGGAGGCAGAGCAGCGGCCTCACATGTGTGAGGTCCTGGGTCCGACACACACTACTGAAACAACAAAGGCCACATAGCTGGGGGGGGGGGGGGGGGGGGGGGGGGGGGGTGGGGGGTGGGGGGCGTTACCTAGTTCACTGTCCAGCTCCTCGGTGTGTACCCCTTCTTCTCCAAAGGAAGAGCAGGATTGAGACAGAAAAGAGAAAGACAAATTCAGACACCAGCACCAAGAGAGAAACTCCCTTAGAAAACAGCAGCAAACACGTCACTATTGTGTCCTTACCTGAATTGTGGTTTGTTTCACTGGCTTGGCTAGTAAACTCCTGACCTCAGTGTAAATCACAAAATGGTAAGAACTGATATTGGCAAAATAATTATACAGCTCATTTCCTTGCACGTCAAAACGTTGTTTGATTGGTTGTAAAAGATGATGAATACCTTTGCGGTTCCCATGTTCTTAAGTGGGAAGTCACTTGTTCCTGACCTTATTTGCAGCAAACAAAGCTGTGAGACCTTTCACTATCGGTCCTTTTAATCCTTCAATAATCCTCTCATCACAGAAGCAATTACACTCGCAATTAGAGCATTACTTAACTTAAAAGTAATACCGCTTGAGAAACAGAAGGTGAGGTCGAATTGAGAAAGGAGATTGTATAATGAACCCAGAGCCTTTTAAAGAGGGGCTGGAAAGATCAACTATGTCATGGTGATACATCATCAAGGACGTGGTGCTTGAAGGCCACAGTGAAGGAGGACCAGGGCAGAGTTCACTCATTTGTTTGCTTGGTTATTTGTACATAAGCTTTCTAAGCCAATGGTTCAGAAGTAGTCAAGTGAAAATGTGCTCAATTATTTCAGCCAGCAAAACAAGTCAAAATCCTTTCCTTCTTGACCTCCTCTGGCTGTCAGTAAAACAAGCAGGTCATGCCTGAGATGAGAACATGGCACAGCACACAGAGTTCATTTTGGTGCTAAAACCTCCCCAGTGGAGAGCAGGTGGCTGTTGCCTACACCGGAAGGAAGCTGCACAAACGCACAGACTAGGGAGGGGTCCAAGCCTTTTTCACAGCGCTACATGGTAGTAGTGCCCAAGGCACTTTCTAGACCATCTTAGGCCACTAAACATTTCTCAGCTAGTCCTGGGAGCCAGTCTGACCTCAGGATCCCATCACTGTCTCCTGGTGGAGTCTACAGACAGGCTTCCATCTCCCCCCACCCCCCAACCCCCGGCATGGACAGTAAGTTTTGACTGGCAGTCTTTTTTTTTTTTTTTTTTTTTTTTTTTTTTTTTTTAAAAAGAGGTTATCAGACTTGAATAAAATCATTTGTAAAAACGCCCATTTAGATATTACCTAAATATGTTTTGGGGGAGGGTTTGTTAATTTCTTCCCCTGTGACTATATGCCATTCACTGTGCTAGGGGCCTGTGACATCAGCAAAGATACAACGACTCACGTACAAAGCTAAACAAAAATGCAACTGAAGTTAAGACCAGGCCTAATTCTCCAGGGTCACTGAAATGGTATCTGAGCTAGAATGTGAAGGGTGCATTGGATGTCAACAAAAATGACTTGAATTTCAGCTCTGTGGCAGCTGGCTGCTTTGCCGTTGCAGTCACTGCAGGGTCTACAATGTAGGCGCCACACAGAAGACATTCAGCAACAGTGACGGACGTGAAGCTGTTCTGAGGAGAAAGAACTGGGCATCTAACTGTCGGGCAGTAGCTCAGTGCGGTCTAGCGGGAGCCAGTGCAAAGCAAAGGGCAGGGTAGAGAAGAGCAAGGACGGCTGGACAAGCAGACGAGACCCGGCAGTTACCGAGCAACCGGAGAGCCACAAGTGAAGACCCCTTCACCCCGACCGACCGACACTGTAGCAGACGGCTGAGAGCAGCGGGGAGAGCATTTGGGTAGGAGACACGTGTGACCTGGCGAGGGATGGTCCAGGCAGGGAAGAAAACAGAGAGGGGGCCCAGAAATGTTTAAGAAGCATGTGAACTGAGCTGACTCATGCATCAGAAATGGAGGCAAAAGGGACAGACGGATGGGATTGCCGAGTGTGCAGCCATTTACTCTCAACTAATACAGGCAACAACTAGCAAAGGCTGGTAAAGAGTCAAGAGTCTTAACTTAAATGAGCCCATGAGTCTGGAATCTCTTTGAGACAGCCTATTGGGACAACAACCAGGCAACTAAAGACACTGACCAGGCACTAGAAGGCAAGGTCAAGACTTCTAATGGTACTAGACTGAGATCAATGGCCACAGGTAATTAATACACCTTGGGTCCTCACTCAATTGAGAACAGCAACAGAAAGTGCAGCATCCTCGCAATATTTAAGCATAACGGTGTTGTGCTGCATTCTGTGTGCAGGTGAGCCTGGGAGCATAAGGCAATGCAGGCACAGTATGTGTGGGCAATAGTGCATTCTTGGTCTGTGTCACAACAGCAAATAGGAGCGCAAGGCAGCTCTGTGTTTACTAGCATCGGAAAATGCAGACTGACGTGTCATCATATGATTACATGTTTATGCTGTCTGCACATACATATCATTCTAGATGAATAAAACATATGATTCTAATGTTGAAGAGATAATTACTGAATGAATTGCACTTGGTATGGACGTATACTTGTCCATAAAAGGAAATACTGGTAATATAGAGATGAAAATTTGGTAACAAAATCATTAACTCCTCTTAATGCATTTATTCCATGGCAATTTTTCTCACTAAAAGGTTCTGTAACCTTCTGTCATCTATAAAATTATAGTGCTATGTATTTTCACACATTCCCAATGTATTTATAATGGATACTGACCCTGAAGACCCTATGTGATAAAAATGGCTAAAGTGCCTTCAAACTCATCTCTTGTCAAAGAGATTAAACTTGTTCTATGAAGTTGTACTAAAATACATTCTAAAGAATGCATGTAAGGTTCTCATCTTTGAAAATTGAAAATCTTTTGAAAACATTATATTAAACAGAATCCTCAAATACTCAGATAGCTGTTACCCCCAGTGTATGAGAAGCAGCTCTGATCATACCTAGCCTACGCCTTCTTCAGCTATGGGAACAAGGATCCAAAATATAATGAGCACCTGATCATGCCTCTCAAATTGGAAAAATACATATTTCCACTTGGACTTGCTCCAATAAATGTAGAACATGCAAATCTATATTTATCTCATGTAATCTGCAGCCATATGCAACAGGAAACTCTCAGAGTACAAGGCTTTTAACTGTGTGATACTTTGAAACACAGTCTTGCATTTTCCAAACATCACATTTATGTATTTGCAACAATTCTTCACTTCAGGACAAATTAATTATGCTACAAATTCAAATGCCAGAATTGTATTGTATAATGAGCAGCAAGGCAAGAATTTGTCTTTTAATGTGTTCCCAGGAGGAAGGAATCTTCGTAGAACTCGGGTTAGATCCCAGTGCTAAAGAGGATGGACATGCTCTGCCTTCACCTCGACCCCCCCACCCCCAGTTTGGGAGATAATTAGAAACTCCAATACTTGAAATAACCTTTTTCGACAGAAACTGTTACAGTCAGAAGGAACATTTGGGAGATGAGGTAGCAGCTCTAACACCTGCCTCTTTGAGGAATAGCCTTTCAAAAAAAATTGTGGCTGTATTTTAAGCTACAAATATATTCCCAACATGTCAAGATCTTCCCGTTGCTCCCTAAACTAGAGAAACAACAGCCAAAAAACCTCTTCATTGCTTCCATGAAGCTTTTACCACACAGGGTTAGGGTCTAGGACATTAGTGTGTGTGGAAAATCAAACTATCTTTCGTTTCTATACCCTGGAGTGCTTCTCTAGAGTCTTTTCCAAGTTCAAGGCGGAGGATGAACTTGCCTCTATTTCCAACAACTATACTGGAATGTACATATCTTGAATTGTTCTTTTGAAAGAATTCTATTTAAGTCCCTCTTGCGATCTAAGCCAGTGTGCTTCCAGTAAAATCCAACAAAAGCCACTTCAATGTTAAAAGCTGATTTACCTTTTGATCACTCTTTAGAAAAATGTACCCATGTAATCAAGCCCCCCAATTTGCTGATCCTAAGACCTCTTAGTCCTTACCATCATCTTCACATTCTTCCAGAGGCTTCTGCTGTTTATTCAGGCACCGAGGGTCTAACCATGATGTTGTCTTTGTGTTATGGCTGAAATCCAGAGACAAAAAAAAGATGAAATTTCTTTAAAAAGAATAACAACAAAGTACAAAGACAGAAAAATCACAAACACTTGCATATCTGCTCATAAACCAATGAAGAGATGCATTCCAACAGTACAGGCAAACCACTAGAGGACTGGAGGCTGGAATGATAATGGCCTAGGGCGAGTCTTAGAAGAACATTTCCCTAAAATATAATCAATGAATTACTGAATGCTTAAAATATAATACCAGCTTTTTTTTTGAAAAAGATACAAAGGACATACTTTTCTTATACAGTCTACTCATCTAGACATATTCTTCAGTCTTCATATTTGCCAAAGAATAAAGGTTGGTTTAGTTTACGTTTGTCTACGACTTCAATTTAGAAGACTGAAATTCAAACAAGGCTGCTATATCACTATTCTACCATACAAGCCCTTTTTTACTTACAGCGGGGAACCCCTCTATCACACAGCACCTTAAACCTGCTCATACCCATCACTCTCCACAATATCCTAACTTAGGCATTTAATGAACTAGTTAATTTACTTATTTATCAGTGTGTGAGCACATTCATGCTATGGAACATGTGGAGGTCTGAGGACACCTCACAGGAGTCAGTTCTCTTCTTTCATCATCAGGGTCCCAAGAACTGAACTCTGGCATCAGGTTTGCGGGGAAGCACCTTCACTGGCAAGTCACCTCACTGGTCCCTAACTTAGGCTTCAGAGAGGTCAAAGGCAACCCAAATTACCTACTACAAGTAGAATCAGGCTATTAAGGAAAAAAAAGAGAAAGAGTAACAGAGATGCTGTCCAAATGCCTTCTGGAGAGGACAGAGAAAAGGTCTCAACAGATTGACTGGGGCCATCTGAACTATCCCAAGGGTATTGCCCTTCAGTCACACTAGGAATGTCACAGGCAAAGCGGGAAGAAGACGTCTTTGTGCTTCCCCAAGTGGATCAAGACACTGGAGGTCAGAGTTCTGCCTGGGCCTGATTCACTGAGCAACTACGTGGGTGAGATGGGAACGCCAAGTCCAAGAACTCTGGCCAGAAACTAGATATGAAAACAAGATACGGAGAGGGTGCAAAAAAAAAAAAAAAAAAAAAAGCATTTGAAGTTTCAGCGTGAATCCTTGTTTATCCCGAGTTTAAAGTTCAAGCTATGTAAAAGGAGGCACAGAGCTGCACCAGGATTTTAGACTCAGATTTTACTAACTGTTAAAGAGAAAATTATGCCATTTCACCTAAGTTAAATAACAACAACAAATTTAAAATAATACCATAATTCCCATCATCACTCTGCTCTGTGGGGCCACTCGCCGCCATGAGAATCTTATTTCATACGTTAGTTTATTTCATTCTCATAATAACCCTACGGGGACAGTAATGAGCAGTAAAGTTACTATCCCCATTTTACAGAGGAGAAAAATGGAAATACAAAGAGGAAGTCTGCCCGAGGACACTGCTGACACATGGCAGACATGGAACTGAAATGCAGGGAGTCGGACAGCCCAGTCTGAGGTCTGCACTGGTCTCCTGTGATGCGGCAACACTACACCGCTCACTGCCCGGACACGGGTATGCAGCATTTCAGAAACAAACCTCTGTCTTAGTTATGTTTCTGTTGCTGGGATGAAACATCATGACCGAAAACAACTTGGGGAGGAAAGGGTTTATTTCATCTTACAGCTTGTAGTCCATCATCCAGGGAGGTCAGAGCAGGGGCTTGATGTAGTTACTGACGCAGAGGCCACCGAGGAGTGCTGTTTACTGGCTTGCTCAGCTTGCTTTCTTAAATAACTCAGGACAATCTGCTCATGGGCTGACCCTGCCTACAGGAATCATTAATCAAGAAAATGCCCCACAGGCTTGCCTACAGGCCATGTTGTGGAGACGTTTTTTCTCAACTGAGTTTCTTTTTACCAATGATGGCTAGGTTTGTGTCAAGTTGACAGAAACCAACAGGACAATTAACCCCTTGCTGACACACAAACACATAATTTATTTATGCATAATCTTCCCTTTCTTATTCATTCACAAGACCTCATATTAATATCAATATCACAATATAAAACATTTCAGTCTTTAAAAAGTCACTTTAAAAATTCAGTCTGTCTAAAAGATTCAAAGTCATTTTCAAAGTTCACATTCTCTCTAAAATATCTAAACTCTCTCAACTGAACTCCTATAAAAAGTAACTTATATACTTATTTCAAAAAGGAAGAGCCAGAGCCCAGTTACCATTAGATCAAAGCAAAACCAAACTCTAACACTGTAAATAACCCAGTGTCCAATGTTTGGGACTCAAAATCTTCTGGGCTTTAAAGGGCTTACGCAGCTCCACCTCTCTTGCTCTAGCATGCTGAACCCACACAGTACATTTCACAGGCTCAGGCCAGCTCCAATCCACAGCTGCTGCTGTTCTTGGAGGCTGTTCCACAGTATTGGGATCTACAAAATGTTAGGAGATAACTACAGAGGCACCCTTACCAATGACTTCTCCTAGCCTCTCTTCAGGGACTCTGACCCTGCCACATGATGCCAAGTCTCAATCTCTCTCCCCGACTCTTAAATCCCGGGGCTTCTACAATTGAGGCTGCACCATGACCAGTGGTCTCGCCTGGTTTCTTACAGTGCCAAATCTCAGCTGTTCTCCATGACCACGTCATACTTTCAAAACCAGTACCACCTGGGGAACCCTTACACATTACCAAGTTCAGCTGCCATCATGAGGTACAGTCTTGGCTCTCTCTGGACCACAGCTTCTGTGTGCTAACTAACCCTGAGGAAATACTTCCAGACTTCCGATAGCCAATGATGCTGGCCTCTTCCTAAAAACCACTCATCTCCAGCATCAATTGTCCCAGTAAAGCAAAGGTTTTACTGTGGGGGTGCTGGTCTCTTGTTAATCACAGCCAATTCTTCAGCCCTAGCTGTCCAGGACCACAAATTGTTTTATTGAAATTATCAAAAGGCCACAATAGAGTCTATAAGGGACTCTTAAAACCCTCTAAAATTTCACAAGTTAGGTTTCCATTATCACAACAAATGTCAGTGTTCGTATATTCCAAGCTCCCACAAAACAGCCCTCTGAGCTGCGAACACTCAATAGCTTTTCCAGTCCAAAGTTCTAAAGTTCTTTCACAGTCCTTTCAAGAACAACACAGTCAGGTCTGTCACAACAAAATCCCACTCCTGGTTCCAATTTATGTCTTAGTTATCTTTCTGTTGCTGTGATAAAAACACCATGAACAAAAGCAATTTGGAAACGAAAGGGTTTATTTCATCTTATAGCTTGGAGTCAATCATGGAAGTCAGGGTAGGAACTCAAGGCAGGAACGGATACAAAGGCCCTGGAGGAATGCTGCATACTTCTAAATATGTCTAGGTTTGTGTCAAGTTGACAAAAAAAACCAACAGGCCTAATAACCTTTTAGTTTGAAATAACTATAGAGCCTCATGTCACTATAACGAAGAAAACAGCTAGATTCAATATACCTTTACCTGGATAACATCAATGGCAACATCTTTACAAAGCTATTCACTGGGACAGCTGGAACATGTATTATCGTGTGTGTGTGTGTGTGTGTGTGTGTGTGTGTGTGTGTGTGTGTGTGTGTGTCTCCCTCTCTCCATTTTTTAAAGACAGGATCTCATAATGCAGGTTACCCTCGAACTCGACATTCTCCTGAGAGCTGGGATTTTCAGGTACATAACCATGTTGGGTATTGGTTTTGTTCTTATTGAATTTTATTTTTCACTCTTTTTATTTTAATGTCTTTGAGTTTTTGTTCTTTTTTTCCCTCCAGTACTAGGGTTTGAACTTGTGCTGTAGGCATACACACAAGCCTTCATTTGAATCCTTATCAGGGAAACATCACCATATAAACATCATACAATGTTGCTCTTCTTCTATTTTCTAAAACATTGTGTAGAAATGGTGCTCATTCTGCTCTCACAGAATTCTCCAATGTGAAACCATGCAGGCCTACAATTTCTTTTTCAGTAGTTTAAAATTATAAACTCATTTTCCTAATAGTTAGGGGCTCCTTAAAAGATCTTAACTCATACTAGATGAGCAACAGTCTATCTCTTGAATCACTGTGATTTGTTAAATGTTTATATGGAGATCTGCGGCCACATTCCCTTAGTATCTTGTAGAAATCTTCAGATTGGTGATGATTCCCAGCTTGATTAATACTGGCAAATTTCTGTTTTTCATTCTTTGTCTGTCTTAGAGATCCTTTTCAGTTCTATTAAAGCTTTGAAGAATTAGCCATTCCAGACATTTTCTCTAGGGTTCAGTTCCATTGACTGCTCTTCTTCAGTCTCCCCTGAGAACAGCTTGAGAGTGTGTGCTAAGATTTATTATTATTTTACCCGTATAAGTGTTTGCCTTTATCCATGGGCACTACATTGTATACAGTTATCTGTGGCTGCCACAGAGGACACCAGACCCTCTAAAACCGGAGTTACAAACTTTGTCAGTTGTCAGGTGGGTGCTGGGAATGGAATCAGGTCCTCTCAAGAGCAGCCAGGGTCCTTAGCTGCCGAGGCATCCCTTATTTTGAGTTTGACTTAACTCTTCTTTTTCTAGGTTCTTGAGATAAAACTCAGACTACAGACCAGAGCCGTCTTTTTAAACACTACACATTTACCTCTGTCATTCACTGGGTTTTGTTCCACTCTGATACGCAGTATTTTCATTTAATTTGATTTTCTTTCTCAAGCTAAGTACTAAGGAGACTAAGGCTAGAGGATTACAAGTTTGAGGTCAGAACGGTTACAAAGAAAGACTCGGCCACAGAAGTGAACAAAAGCAAACAATTTCTTTGAGAATACTGTTCTGAATTATTGGTTCTTTTTCTTTCTTTTTAAAGAAGTCTTGTTTGTTTGTGAAATGTTTTTATTGCATAATATTATGATGTTTAGTCTTTTATGATTAATACTTTTATAATAGTTTTTCCTATCCATTTATGTTCAGCATACCTCACTGTTACAG